TCTTGGCTAGCCTGAAATTTAGCACCGGTTAAGTTCCTGGCTTAATTGGAACACCTGTGCGCTTTCCCAGTGTCTGAAGTTGACAAAGGGGGAAGGGAGCGGAGATGGCTGCGCACTTGTTAGGCTGGTACTGAACAGGAGATAACAGAAGCACTTTCTCAGACGTGGCCAGGTAGAACCGCTGGGGAGTTCTCAGCAGTACACAGAATTCCAACTGGCACTTTGGGAAGCCAGGTGGGGGCTCCTTGCGCCAGATCCCTGAGAGCAGACTGCCAAGGCAAAGGGGCTCTGGGTCCCTTAATCTGCCAGCAGTGCAAAGACAGCGGGACATTTTAGGAGACGCTTAGCTTTGGAGGAGGAGGCAGAGTTGTGGCATCCAGGTCTTTCTGACCTTGAGTTTTATTTCCCATGCAATTACTGTGTCTCAGAAGTTGAGGGTTTTGACACTGTACGGGGCATTAGTAAGGAATGGAAGCAATAACTAGGAGTGGTCATTAGAAAGTGTTCTGAGGGGGGCGCCTCCTGGCTCAGTCGGTTAAGTGTCTGACTTCGGCTCAGGTCATGATCTCATGGTTGGAGGAGCCCCACATCCGGCTCTCTGGTGCCAATTTCAGATCCTCTGTCCCCCTCTCTCTGGCCCTCCCCTGCTGGTTCTCTCTCTCTCCCTCCCTCTCTCTCTCACAAAATAAATAAATAAACTTAAAAAAAAAAGTGTTCTGAGGCCTACTGCATATCAAGTGCCAAAATCAATTCCAGGTTAATTAAAAAGTTAAAGAATGAATACCACAACAAAAGAATTAGAAGAAAGTTTAGCTGATCCTAACATGGCCAAGGCCCGTGAAAACACAAAAGCAAAAAAAAAAAAAAAAAAAAGGAAAAACCAATAGTTTGAAATAAACATATACACGCAAAATTAAAAATTTCTGTATAGTTTTCAAATCACAAAAAAAAAAATTAAACAGGATAAAGTTAACAGGAACTAATGAGTTGGGAAAACACTTGCAGCATATGTGATTACTGGTTAATGTCATTAACACAGAAAGGAAGAAATGGGTGATCACCTCAATGGAAATATGTGAACTGCCAATAAGCACTGGAAAATATGAATTAAATAACAGTGAAATATGATAAAATACCATACAGTTCTTCAGGATTGACTGAGATAGGGAAAAACATAATATCCAGTATTGTCAAGGGTAAAAGAAAGGGGCATCTCAAATATTTATAACTGGAATGTAAATTGGTTTGATTTTTCTGGAGGGTAATTGATAGTTTATATTATTATTTTTTTTAATGTTTATTTACTTTTGAGAGAGAGAGAGCATGTGCACACAAGTGGGGGAGGGGCAAAGAGACAGGGGGATAGAGGATCCCAAGCGGGCTCTGTGCTGATGACACTTTAGGTGCTGACAGCACTGAGCCCCATGTGGGCTCATGAAGTCATGAACTGCAAGATCATGACCTGAGCCAAAGTCGGATGCTCAGTTGACTGAGCACTCAGGGGCCCCGGTAGTTTATATTGTAAACCTTACAATGTGCATAACTTAAAAAAATTATTTTAAATGTTTATTTATTTATGAGAGAGAGGGAAAGATACAGAGTGAGAATGGGGGAGGGGCAGAGAGAGAGAGGGAGACACAGAATCCAAAGTAGGCTCCAGGCTCTGAGCTGTCAGCACAGAGCCTGATGGGGGGCTTGAACTCAAGATCCATGAGATCACGACCTGAGCTGAAGTTGGATGCTTAACCGAGTGAGCCACCCAGGCTCCCCAAAATGTGCATAACTTTTGACTCAGCAGTTTGTCCTCTAGGAATTTATCTTAAGGAGATAATCAAGGACGTGCACAGAGACTTACCTACAAGAATGTTTACGACAGTGTTATTTTAACAATGACAAATTCTGGGGAGGGAGTACTGAATGTTAAGATTTGACAGAATTGGGGAGTAGCTACATGGGTCTTCATTATTGTATTAGTTTCCTACTGGAACAAAAAACCGTAAAGTTAGTGGCTTAAAACAACGTACATTTTTTAGGTCACAGTTCTGTAGTTCAAAGTCCGACCTGGGTCTCACTGGGTTAAAACTGAGGTGCTGGCAGGACCGTGTTCCTTCTGGAGACTCCAGGGCAGTGTCCATTTCCAGCTTCTAGAGGCTGCCCGCATTCCTTGGCTCAGGCTCCCCTTCTTCCATCTTCAAATCCAGCAACACAGCATCCCTCAGACCTTTCTTTCATCACCGCATCTCTTTCCCTGACTCTTTGTTTTCCTCTTCCACTTTTAAGGACCCTTGTGATCACATCGGGCCTACACAGACAATGCTCCTAGTTAGCTAATTAGCAAGCTTAATTCCAGTTGTCATGTAACCATAGGTCCTGGGGATTAATGCTGAAGTCTTTGGGGGTCATTATTCTGCCTACACTACTGTATTATAGTTCCATATACTTATCTTCACAAAATGGTATTTTGTAATATTTAAAAAACCTAAATTCAACGTCCACTTTAGTGTATGGATGAAAGGAGGCTATATATTGATAGTATGAATGCTGTGTGCGCATTAAAAGTCATAATGTGGGGGCGCCTGGGTGGCTCAGTTGGTTAAGTGTCCAACTTCAGCTCAGGTCATGATCTCACAGTCTGTGAGTTCGAGCCCCGCGTCAGGCTCTGTGCTGACAGCTCAGAGCCTGGAGCCTGCTTCAGATTCTGTGTCTCCCTCTCTCTCTGCCCCTTCCCCGCTCATGCTCTGTCTCTCTCTGTCTCAAAAATAAATAAAAACATTAAAAAAAAGTCATAATGTGGGAAAACATGTAACACGGAGCAATGTTCATTATATAATGAATGGGGGAAAATAAAGTCTACAAAAGAATATGCACAAGATAACATTTATGTAAAACCCAAACCCCAAGTATATTACTATTTACTATGCAAGTAAATAAAAAATGTTAGGAAGGTCAAAATGTCAATAGTGTTTATCTCTGGATGGTCATTTTAATTTTCTTCAATTTTTCTCCATTTGCCAAAATGTGTGAAATAAAAGGTGACTGACAATGTTATCTAGCACATTTTTCTCCTTGGTATCCTTTTAATTACACTTGCTCACATCCATCCCTCAAGTTCATCCTCATCAAAAATACTTCAGTTCAAAGGGGCACATGCACCCCGATATTTATGGCAGCGCTATGAACAATAGCCAAAATATGGAAAAAGCCCAAATGTCTGTGACTGATGAATGGATAAAGAAGATGTGGTATATACATACAATGGAATACCAGTCAGCGATGAAAAAGAATGAAACCTTGCCATTTGTAACAAGTGGATGGAACTAGACGGTATTATGCTAAGTGAGGTAAGTCAAACAGAGACAGATACCTGATTTCCCTCATATGTGGACTTTGAAAAACTCAACAGATGAACAGAGAGGGAGGCAAACCATAAGAGGCTTTTAAATACTGAGAACAAACTGAGGGTTTGGCGGGGGGGGGGGGCGGGGGGGAGGTTAAATGGGTGATGGGCATTAAGGAGGGCACTTTTCGCTGGGGAGGTGGGGAGACACCTGGGTGGCTCAGTCAGTTAAACATCCGACCCTTGGTTTTGGCTCTGGTCACGATCTCAAGGTTTGGTGAGTTCAAGCCCCATGCTGGGCTCCATACTAACAGTGCAGAGCCTGCCTGGTATTCTCTGTCTCCCTTTCTCTCTGCCCCTCCCCCACCTGCACTATCTGTCTCTCTCAAAATAAATAAACCTAAAAAAAATTAAAGAAAAAAAGGCAGGCACTTTCGTGGATGAGCACTGAGTGTCATATGTAAAAGATGAATCACTTGGTTCTACTCCTGAAGCCAAGACTACACTGTACATTAACTAACTTAAATATAAATAAAAAGAAAAAAAAAAAAACACACCACATTTCAAGTCTGGCTCTCAGTGACACCATTTTTTTCAGGCCCCAGTTGTCCGCGGAGGCAGGAAGGGACCATGCGGTGAACTAAGCCTGGCAGCGAATCCTGCTTCTTAAAAACTTCAGGGCGAAGCTAACCCAAGGCACAGCCGCATCCCACAAAGAACTTAACGAGTATCTTGGAAGGTGGATGCTCAAGTATAGGAACCCTTCATAATTTCTCCAACACGGGTTAACGGTTTCGATTGACGCTACTATTTTTTAAAAAACGAACAGAGAACGGCGGCGAGAGCCGGGGGCCTGGCGACCAGGACCGTGGCGGGGGCCACCCACCAAGCCCGCCGGGTTCCCCTATGCCGCGGGGCTCAGGCGGCCGTCAGCGTTCCCCCTCCGCGGCCTAAGCCCCAGGAGGCTTCCCAGCCGGACACACCGCCTGAGCCTCACTCCGGGCACCGCTGGCTCGACGCGCAGCCCTACGGCCGGCGGCCCTGGCCCAGGAGCCCGCGAGGCTGGTGCGGTTCGGGCGTTCGGCACGAGGGGAACCTCAGGGCCTCTCCCGCAGCCCCTGATCGGCTGACCCGGCCGAAGCCGACCCCCACCACCGAGAGGAGCGCCTAGAGCGGACCGGCCCGCCGGTCCCGACGCTCCGCTCCGCCCAGCCGCCTCTATCCCGGAAGTTGATGCAGCTCGCCAGATCGCGTGCTGCTCGTTAGGGGTGTCGCCTTAGAGATCGGGACTGGCTGGGATTGCGAAAGGATCAACATGCCTGTGAGTTGTTTACTTTCTGGCTTTCCGTTTATTTCGGGCTTCTCTGTCTAGGGGTCCTGGGGGCGGGTTAGCCCGACGCTTCCGCGGGCCCGGGGGTCCCTGCCTAACGCATTTCAGGGGCGCGGATCGCGCAGCTCCTCCGCGCGTGGCGGACTTGTTGGGACTTGCCTGGACGGCGCGGCGTGTCGGGCCCTGCATGGGCGTGGAGCGGGGTGGACCCGGGGCCGCCCAGTGCTTAGGTCTCGAGCCCCTAGCTAGGGGGACACAGCTTCTCGGTAACACTCAGCCTTCTTGGGTTTGGGTGGGCGCTCGCGAGACTGTAGTCTTTGGAGTCTTTTTGCTCTCCTTGTGCTTGGTGGTTCTCTCGTCTCGGAAGCGATTTTCTGCTGGTTTCCTTTTTCAAAACTGTCTTCGCAGTTACCTTACTTGTTAACTGCATCAAGGACAGTCAGGCTTCAGCCGCTCAGAGTTCCTGTCAGATCAGATGTTGAACCCCGGGGGCAGAAGTCACCCCCGTGTTGGCACACTCCGGTCTACCTCAGCGATTTCTACTTTCAGCGGGTGCACGGTTGGGGTCAAGTTCTTACTTAGCACCACAGTGTTGTTTTTATCGGAGACTGTTACTCAGCAGACTAAAGAAGAACGAGATTAACCTTACCATATGCTTCTTGATCGTCCTAGAGTTCCTTGACCGGGACGTAGAGAACACAAGCATTATAAAAAGTATGGATTAAAGTTAACAGGCTAAAAAAATAACAAGTATCTGGCATGTTGCGTCGGCTGAGTATGACTTTTAATTCCCTTTTTTGCGTGTGTATTTTAAGTCTGGTTAAATCTGCCACCATTGTGGATTCATTCTGGGAATAATAATACGTTTTTTTTATTCAGTTGGCTAGAGATTTACTCCACCCGTCCTTGGAAGAGGAAAAGAAAAAACATAAGAAGAAACGTCTAGTTCAAAGCCCAAATTCCTATTTTATGGATGTAAAATGCCCAGGTAAAATTTCAGATCTTAATTCCTTTCTCAAGGAAAATTTCTGAAGGGATTGCTAATGTGGTGTGTATGTTTAGATCCCTTAGGACCCTTTGTTGACTAGCAGTGGGATTACAGAATTGGAATGTCAAAAGGGACAGTTTCCTAGTAAACTATTCAAACCATAGAAAGATTTGGGGGCGGGGGTGGTGAAGAGGAGACTCCAAAGGGGATATGACATTTGACTTACTAAGTGTGAAGCTATGCAGATGGTTAGTTTTCTTGAAACTAATCATGAAAAGTATGTTGATTCTTCAGTGTAAAGCTGTGCTGCCCAGTGTGGTGGCCATTAGCCATAGGCAGCTACTGAGCACTGGAAATGTGGCCAAAATGGGAAATAGTCCTTAAGTGTAAAATGTACACCTGATTTTTAAGATGTAGCACATACACACACAAAAACCATATTGATTACATGTTGCAATGGTAATAATATTTTGGAAATAGTTCAATAAAATATATTACTAACTTCACCTGTTGGCTTTTAAAAACATTTTTTATGTGACGTTAAATATGTGGCTTGCTGTTGCAAACATTAAAGTCTTAATCTTTTACGAAGTCTTTGCTAGAAATATGTTGAACAATATGCTTTATTTTCTTCTGCTTTTCGCTTTCAATTTGCCCTTTTTCTAGGTTGCTACAAGATTACCACGGTTTTCAGCCATGCTCAGACGGTGGTTCTTTGTGTAGGCTGTTCAACAGTGTTGTGCCAGCCAACGGGAGGAAAGGCCAGACTCACAGAAGGTATGTCATTTGGCCGTTTCTAACCCAGTGATGAGATTTTATGATTATAAATGTCTTCCTTTGCTAAAAACCAGTTTAAAAGAAATCTTAAATTCATTATTACCAAAATAGTTGTATCTTTCATCGTATGCTCTTTCAGTAAAGAGTACCCTGCTCAGATGGCTAAGTTTATATTCTTGACTTTGTAAAGAACTCATGTAACTATTATTTTTCTTAGTTTGGAACACCTAATTCTGTTACAGTTAGTCATTTAGTTTGTTTAACTTGGAATATTAAACATAAGTCAAAATGGAGCCAAACAATAACTACATACAATAGGACATACAGATTTTTAAAACCATAGAATTTAAAAAATTCCATCATAAATATTTTGTTTCATATATAGTTGATGCATTTGACTGAAGACAGTTTTTATCATTGCTGGCTAAGCAACAGAAAACGAATGTATAAATTAAAATGCCAGAGGTTTTGATTTGTGAGTACCTGCTTAATTAAACATCTCATTTAAAAATTTTTATTTATTTATTCATCTACTTATTTAAAGACTTTATTTTTAAGTAATCTCTACCTCCAGTGTGAGGCTCAAACTTACAGCCCTGAGATCAAGTCACATGCTCTACTGACTGAGGCAGCCGGGTGCCCCTAAAAATCCCGTTTGAGTTGCTCTTTCACTTTTGTGCACCAAGATAAAAAAAGAGTAATTATGAATATTGTTTTCCATAGTAGTACTTATAGATTTATAGTTCCATAATTATATTTGAAATTTGCTTGTGATATTTTGGGGAGTTGTGAATTCCACATTGTTCTCACCAGAAGAGTTATAAGTGGTTTGGGAACTAATCTAAAATCTATTTTGTGTGAGCTGGTGAGATCTAAGTATGAGGTCAGCATACGATATTTAAGTGTAGTGTTGCTCTCAAAAGTATACTTGCAAGAGTTTTTAAACCTTTATATCATGCCATGATCTTGGAGTTTTGTGCCCATGTGCTGATGGATGATTAATAGGGTATTAGAGTTTTCCTAGCAGACTTGAAGAGCATCCTAATCAAAATTAGTTTCTTGGGAAGTGATTCAAAATAATTCCTAAAAACTAAGATTGCATTTTCTGATAGCTGGCGTTAAAGTTTTAACTGTTGAATTTAGGCTCATGGTCTTATGTAGACTCCAACATAGCATTTGAATAGTTATAGTCACATCAGAATAAATACAGGAATAATAGTTATAGTCACATCAGAATAAATTCAAATGTACAAGATTTATTATAATAAAGTTCTAGTATAAAAGGATAAATAACGTATATATGAATGTTAATCTAATATTCCTAAAACTTTGTTTTTTTAATTTAAAAAGTACTTTTTGTCATTAAAACTATACTAGAGATAGAGTACACTTGTTTAACGTGCTCTTGTGATTCCTTTGCAGGGTGTTCATTTAGAAGAAAGCAACACTAATGATCACACAACCTCTTGAATTTGTGTTCTATCGCAGAAAGCCTTATCAGTTCAATAATTCCGGTTAATCTACCAAGATAATGTAATTATGTTTAATTTTGTAAGGTATACAACAGTCATCTCCTATTTTGGTGTCAGTTTTTCAATAAAGTTTTGATTATGGGCAAATTCCCCTTTTTATTTTTTTTAAAGTATGTGTGAATATGCTATATGTTTATATGTATACTGTGTCTGTGAATTTGGTATAAACATTTTAAGAAGTGTATTCTGATTAGTTTGTCTCATTTCAGGACTGGAAACCCTAAATATTTGATTCTCAGCCCTTTTCCAAATTGCTGTGAGTGGGCTAAACAATTAAAAAATGGAAAGAAGTCCATTATTTGTTAATTCTAAAAATAGTTTGCTATTGTAACTATGGAAACACATTTACAGAAGTACATATTTAATGCTGTAACAATCAGTCTAATTACAGAGTAATTATAATGTAATGGTTTGCGTTTTTGTGGCCCTAACATGCTGTATAATTTAGTAGAATAACTGCAGCTGGGGTCTGGGTTATAGGAAGCTCCTTTTGGGGTAGGAAATTTGAGAGGAGACATCAGGAGTAGCATGATTTACCCCAGGATGTCCTGGTTGGGAATGGTAGATGGCATGGAATTCTCTGATCCAGACACATGAGCACACCTGATTACAGATGTGTGTTGAGTGGCTCTGGTGTCTCCTTGTCATTTTGATAGTTTATGGAGTGATCCTAGGGAGCTAGGAAGTGGAGTGTATCTCCCTCTAGCCACATTGGACTGCTTGTATTTGACTTGTTACCTTTAAAGTAGGCACTTAAGATGGGCCTTTGCTATCAAGAGATGTTTCTATATATTCACCCCCAATCTGGAAGGCTGATCCTTAAACATATTCATATACAAGAGGAATGTGGCACAAGAACTGAAAAACTTGGGGCACCTGGGTGGCTCAACCTGTTGAGCGTCCGACTCTTGATTTCTGCTCAGGTCACGATCTCAGGGTCTTGGGATTGAGCACTCCATTGCCCTCTGCATTAGGCTCCATGCTGAGTGTGGAGCCTGCTTGAGATTCTCTCTCCCTCTGCTTGCTCTCCCCTGCTTGCCCTCTCTCTCTCTCAAAAAACAAAAAACAAACTGAAGAACTATCCAAAGTTTGGAATGTATTTAATATATGGAGAAGTAAGTAACCCAAACGTTTCCAAACTTGCTTGGTTTATGGTATCTTTAGAGTCTCAGTAATTTTTTCAGAGTTCCTTGGCCAAAACAAAACCTAACAGTTAACATTAAGTAGTTAGGTTCTAATGTAAATTAAAAACAAAAGTATTTTTTATCTCATTCTTAAATGACCACATTAGTAATCGAATGGGTGTCCCTTTTGGGCACTGCACGGTTTCTCAAAATTGGGATCAGACTAGACAACTGCTATCTCCTTTCTTCCACACTGATTTTTGCGTAGTACTTGCTTTTTATCACAGCAATGACCCAAAACCCAGCTTCGCAAAGATATGACATCATTAGGGGTGCCTGAGTACCTCAGTTGGTTAAGCATCTGACTCTTGATTTTGGCTGGGGTCATGATCTCATGGTTCTTGAGATCGAGCCCTACATTGGGTGTTAGGCTCTGCACTGACAGCGTGGAGCCTGCTTGGGGTTCTGTCTCCCTTTCTCTGTCCCTCCGCTGCTCAGCTCTCTCTGAAAGTAAACATGGAAAAAAAAAAAAGATCTGATACATCGAAAGGAATGTGGTGTCACATATTAACTACCTGGAACTACAAGTTGGCATGGTATCCAAAAGATACCCAGTATCAAAGCTTTTGTGCCTCAACTCACCTCAGCTTGCACAGTTCAGGAAACTTGGCCCCATGGAGAGCCAGTAGGGATGGCAGCCTATTGAAATGGAAAGGAGCAAAACCTGTGATATCTAATCTATAGGGCAAATCCCTGAAAATTTCCTTGGAAATGGTACTGAAAGAAAGGGTTTGTGCTTTGAAAAACCTATCCAAGGATTGTTATGGAGATACTTGGCACTGGGAAGTGAATGATGTATTGACTTTTACTTCATTATTAATCCAAACAGTATTCCTGGTTTGAAAAATATGCAATAGAACACTAGGACTTTTACAAATGTCAGTCTGCCAATATACCTTGTTATTTACTGAATGCTTTTCTTTAATACTCTTACTTAAATTGACTTCATTTTTTAAAAATGTAAACTTTTTAAAAAAGGTTTTAAGTAATCTACACCGAACATGGGGCTCAAACTTAAAACCCTGAGATCAAGAGTCACATGCTCTAAAGCCTGAGCCAGCCAGGTACCCCAGATGTAAACAGATTTTTAAAGGAAAACGTTCCTCTCTTCTCTAAATATAAAATCCAGTTACATAAAGGTAACAAAATAAAATGGATTCTTGGCTCTGACCTGATCAGATGACAAATGGTTTCTTACCTGGTGGCGCCTGCAAATCATCCAAAAAACTTCTTGTTCTTATCCTTGTTCTTGTCCTTGTTCTTCATACGATGTATATAGAACTCAACGTTGAACAGTGAACATTTCATTCAACATGAAACGCAGTGTTTCTTAGTATATCCACAAGTTGTGCAGCCATCACATAGTCTAATCCCAGACTATTTCCTTAGTTCATGAAGAAACTCCATATTCATTAGCATTCACTCCCCATTCCTTCCTTCTCCCAGTTCCTGGCAAACACTAATATATTTTCTATCTCCATGATATTGCCTCTTCTGGACACTTTATGTACATGGGGTCACATAATATGTGACCTTTTGTGTCTGGCTTCTTTGGCTTAGCATAATGTTTAAGACGGCCATCCACGCTGTAGCATGTATTAGTACATCATTCCTTTCTGTGACTGAATAATACTCTGTTGTAAGAATATACCTTCTGTTTATTCATCAGTTGATGGACAGTGGGTTGTTTTCACTTTTTGCTACTATGAATAATTGTACTACGAACATGTGTGTACAAGTTTTTGTGTAGACATAAGTTAGATTCTCTTGGGTAATATACCTAGGAAAATTGCTAGGTTATAGTAATTCTGTGTTTAGTTTTTTGAGGAAATGCCTATGTTGCAAAAAGGCTGTACCATCTTACATTCTGACTAGTAACGTACAAGAGTTACAATTTCTCTACATCCTCACCGACACTTGTTTTTATCAGCCTTTTTGATCGTAGCCATCTTACTATGTGTGAAGAATTATCTCACTGTGGTTTCGATTTGCATTTCCCTGATGGTTAATTATGCTGACCATCTTTTCATGTGCTTATTGGCTTGTTGTTTTTCTTCTTTGGAGAAGTGTCTGTTCAGATCCTTTACCCATTTTTAATTGGGTTGTGTTTTATTGTTGAATTGTAAGAATTCTTATATACTGTAGATATTACACATATAAACAATTTTCTCCCATTCTGTGGGTTGTCTTCAACTTTGTCCTTAGAAATACAAACATCTTAAATTCTTATGAAGCCTAATTTACCTATTTTTTTTTGTTGTTTCTTGTGCTTTTGGTGTCATATCTAAGAAATCATTGCCTAATTCAAGGTTATGGAGATTCATGCCTGTTTTCTTCTAAGAACTTTCTAGTTTTAGTTCTTACATTTAGATTTGATCCATTGTGAATTAATTGTTAATTGAATTGAATTAATTGAATTGAATTAATTGTTACATATGGTGTGAGACAGGGGTTCAACTTTATTCTCTAATTCTTTTTAATGGTTGCATATCATTCTATGGTATGGAAGTGCCATAATTTATTAAGTATTATCCTGTTGATGGGCACTTTGTTTCTAGTTTGTTCCACTGTAATCAAATGCCATAAATATATTTAAATATGTCTTTAGTAAAGGTGCTTTTATTTCTGTGGGTTAGATTTCTGGGAGTGGGATTGTTGGTTAGAAAGATAAATGTATTTTTCATTTTAATAGGTAATACCGATTGCTTTTCGCCAGCAATATATGAAAACATTCTCCTCCTTCTCCATCTCTTCCACTAATAAATGGAATCTAAATTTTTTGACATTTTGATGACCATAAGGTTACATATACATCATTGTTACTCTAATTTGTATATCTGCTTACTGAGGAGTGTGGGAATGTAAAAAAGGCAAAATAAGCTGCTATCTTCCTAGAATTCCTTCTCATTTGCCTTTTCTTAATAACACCAGCAACAACAACGACAACAAATTCTCCATATTAGAAATATGTCTAAAAAGAGTTGGAATGCAGTTTCCTGTTGCTGCTGTAACAAATTAGCACAAATTTAGTGGCTTAAAACAGCACAAACTTAAATGGATCATCAAACTTAATGGATCATCCATGTCTCTAAAAATAAAACAAAACACACACACACACACACACACACACCAGAGACAGAGAGGGAGAGGGAGAGAGAGGGAAACAAGGAAAACATAAACTTATTATCTTACAGTTCTGGAGATCAGAAATCCAAAATGGCAAAAATCAAGGTTTTGGTGGGGCCATGTTCCTTCTGGAGGCTCTGGGGGCAGATGTTTCCTTGTCTGTTCTAGCTTCCAGAGGCTGCCTGCATTCCTTGGTCCCTGACCCCACATCTTCCTACCTCTGCTTATGTCATCACATCTCCTCTGGCCTTTACTTCCTACCTTCCTCTTATAACGACATTTGTGATTACATTGGGCTCACCCAGATAATCCAGGACAATCTCCCTGTCCAGGATCCTTGATTTAATAACATCTGCAATGTCCCTTTTGCTGTATAAGGTAACTTATTCACAGGTTCTGGGGATTAGGGCATCCGTATTCTGCCTATCACAGAATACAAAGCTTTAAAATTCTATCCCAGAATTGAAAACTGAGATTCTGGAAATGTGTCTTTGTAATTCTCAGTGGAAAAAACCTTAAATCTGGGCACCTGGGTGGCTTAGTCAATTAAGGATCTGACTCTTGGTTTGGGCTCAGGTCATGATCTCACAGTTTGTGGGATAAAGACCCAAGTCGGGGTCTGAGCTCACAGCATGACCCTGCTTGGGATTCTCTCCTCCCTCCCTCTCTGCCCATCCTCTGCTTAGGTGCCTGTGTGCATGCATGCACGCTTGCTCTCGCTCTCTCCTTCAAAATAAATATATAAACATTAAAAAAAAGAAATTTATATAAAAAAAC